CATTTCTCTGCCTCTGAGCCCATAGACCCCATTGACATCCATTCTTGCATAGGACCATGTACCTCTTATTCTTGTCGGAGTGGCTAACATAATACGGCCTATGAAACCGAACGGCATAATCCATCAGAAAATACTTGAGATGCTCCAACGTATCAAATATCATTCCCTTCTTAATCTCCACCTCCTCACTATCTGGTACCTCATCGGGCAACAACGACAAACCGGTGTCACATATTGCCTGGTCAACCATACTAATGTCCATGAAATTTGGTACCGAGGGTACCTCCACATGGATAGCCTTCATTTGCCTCAATTCGATGTCATTGTACTCCATTGTCAATGACCCGTTAGCTAGGACTCCTATTGCGTCCGGAAACCCTCCCTCAAAACAATCAATTTCGTCCTTGCTACTAGGCTCAGACCTGTACTCGTCCTCCAACACATCATCCGAAGTACTTGCCCCCGAGTAAAGTCATCTTTGTCCACGGAGGCAACATCACTTGTCCAATTTGGGATATGTCACTATTAAAATATTGTTTTTCTTTAAAATCATCATTCAAGGATTAAAATCAATAAAAAGTCCATTAAATCCTCATCCCAAGTGCTTGATCCCGGGTTTAGGGGTTCTCCATTCATCCTCATATACCTTTGTGTCAACAGCACATGGCCCCTTGGAGTGATTGGCCTCCTAGATACCCTGTTAGCGATCCATGGATCCTCCCATATTTTAAATCATTTTCACTAACCATCACCAAACCATTCCGATCTAAATCAAATCAATCCATGCTTTTTTATGCAAGGCTTGAAAACCTCTCACAATACTCCGCCATGAGTAGGATATACCCGGACCCTCCTTAGCTTGCAAGTGTGAATTATTTGTGCCATATTTTGCTTTCAACAACTGCACACATATGGAATCCGGATTCCGAAGAATTCTCCAACCCTGTCGAGCCAGCATCGCAAGATTGAACAAGTGGAGATCTCTGTACCCAAGGCCACCTTCCTCCTTTCTCCTACACACTTCCTCCCAAGAGACCCAATGCATTTTATTTTATTTTTCCTGTTGTGACCACCAATAGCGACAGATCATCTTGCTCATATCGTCACATATGCAGGAATAGCTTGTACTTTTTCCTATACGTTTTTTTTCTTGATGAAATAAAACAATCGATGAACAAGCCAATTTACATACAATACAAAGAAAACACAACACGTGCAACAAGAATCCAAAGCATAAATCAATTTACAGTTCAAAGACATCGTGCAAAAACTTGCAAGAACAGGTAGAAGAAAGTGGGAAGATACCTCTTGGTTCCTGTGTGCCTCTCTGCCGAAACCCCTGGTTCCTCGCCCATGTAACACCCTAAAATTTGTATAATTTAAAATAGGAGAAAATGATTTAATTACGTATTTTGTGAACATTGAAATTTAGAAAATAATGAATTTGTTAAAAATAAAATCAAATATAAGTTTACCTACATATTTATGCATTCAAGCTGCTGCATAGTATTTTTGAATTGTGTGATTTGAAATCAAATTTCAAATTGATTTGAATTTGCATTCAAAATTTGTTTGGAAAAGAAAAAGAAAAGATTTTTCTTCACCTTCTCCCTATTCGGCCTGTTGGCCCAGCTCTCTCCCACGGCCATTCCAGCAGCGCCGGCCCGCTCCTTCCCCTTCGCAGGCCCGCTTCCGCAGCAGCCCAGCTTGCCTGCTCATTCCCGCGCCCGCGGCCCGTTCCAGTTCCCCACTGCGGCCCAGCTTCACTCGTGGCCCAACCCAGCGCAGTCGCACCACGCCCGCGCTCTCTCTCCTTCCTCACTCATGGGCCGCTCAGGCCGAAGCCCAGCAGTGTCGTCCCCTCTTCCTCTTACGCTGGCAGCTTGGGCCCAGGTGTCAGGGGTGTCTTCTTCCCCTCGTCGTGTCCGAGCCGGACATCACCGGCCGAGTCCATGCTCGCCCCGCTTCCCCCTCCGTCTTGCGTGCGCTCCAGCCAGCGCTGTCTCTTAAATAGTCGCCCGAGGTGCCGTGCCTCTTTCCCTGAACCCTAATTGAAGCCGCCATGCCCCAGAGCTCCCTCGCTGCCACCTAACCCTAGCGCCGCCGATGCCGTCTGCCTCGCCGTGCGCCACGTCGTCTGCGTCCGCCCCACTCCTTGCTAAGGTACCCGAACGAGCTTGTCGTCGTCTCCTCTAGCTTTCCATGCTTTTTCTTCGTTCAATGGTGGTCCGTAGACTGAGTTTGCCGAGCATCGCTTACCTCCGGCCATGGCGCCGCCGTGGACCTCGCCGCCGGCCGGCCAGCTCTCTCTCTCCTTTTCGTTTGATCGTAGCCGTCCGATATGGATCGGATGATCCCAAATAGAAGATACCCGTTCGCTGGCGTTTTTACAAAAAGGCCATTATAATTATTTGAGTCTTAACCCGCAGTCCATAGCATCTTTCCGGAGTATGTTTTCTTCTTTAGAAAGCATAGTTTCTTCGGTTTAGATCCAGAATACGTTTCCATCTATTTGCAGTTTTGCCACTGGTTTATATAGGTCATAACTTTCACGTTTTAGCTCCGATTTGATCCGTTCAACTTGCGTTAGGTTCGTAATTCCATAATCTATGTGTTCACTCTACTATTAAGTATATTTTCAACTTTTAAAATCGAGGTTAGCTTTAATTTATTATTTTACAAAAGAAAATCTTGTTTAATTCATAACTTATCCGTTTTAACTCCTATTTGAGTGATTATCGCGTCTGCGTGTTCGAAACATTGCGTAGAACAGTTTTAAAACATTTTTAACTTCTATTTCTACTGTTTGGTGTATTGTTCTAATTAGCTTATATTTGTTTGCTATGCATGTATGTATGGATGCATGTGTGGTGTTGTTTGATCTCGAGTAGACAGTGAGTTTTGTGTTGGTGATCTGGAGCAACTCTTTGAAGATTAAGACCAGCAGCGATACTTTGAATTAAGGCAAATATAATATGAGGCTCCTTGTTACCTATTCACTTTAATGCAAACTCAATTCATATGTATATATTAATGAACCGCTTGGAGTCTACTTACCTAGCTATTGATTATCCTGTCCTTGATTTACCTATGGGTTTTGCATGTGGGTAGTATGCTCAGTTTACTCCAACTAATATTGATTAAAGAATACAATTAAAGATATATGCAACATGGTATTAAAAGATATTTTTTGAGCAACATGAAACCAAGGGGGCTAGAGCATTGGGCCTTTTCTTACGGTGCTCTAGTTTCTCTCCCTAAGGACTCAGCTTTAAGTGACAACCCAGGACTTATAGTACAACCATAAGGACCACATGGCTCTAGTCTTAGTCCAGTACCATGCTCTTTCTAGTTTGTAGCAGTTTACCGAAAGGGCAAGAGGGGCATACCAGGCTGGGTGTGGGCCTCATCCCCAGGGTGTGTACTATGCTGCGTGTAATAGTGCCACTTTTGGAGATGACTCCATAACACTTGGGAGATGGAATCCTTAGCGGCTGCTCCTTATTAGAATGACTGGGGAAAAGCTTCGTAGTGTACCTTGCCTGCTCACCTTGGACGTGTTTTGGGAGTAATTAATCCGGGCATATGGGCAAAACAACTCGTGGTGAAAGTATACAACCTCTGCAGAGTGTAAAACTGGTATATCAGCCGTGCTCACGAACAAGAGCGGCCTAGATCCTTACTGAATAGTTGGTTACTCGGGTGGTTTGGGTTATGATTAAGATGGCCGATATCTCTAATTATTCATACTTGGGAATCTAAGCATAACTTAGCAACTTATGATTAATACTAAAATAGGACCAACTAAAAGTGCTTATTGCAGTTCAGCCGCGTCAAGTCTTTTAAGCCTGCATCCCCTCAAGCTATGCTTGCTAAGCGGTAGTAGCTTATGCTTGTTTTATTTCAATACTTTGGCAAAATCCCGGATGGGTACCAGATGGAGATTCTTCAGTGGAGTTTTTCAAGAGGTGTTAGGCTTATGATCAACCAGTTAACGATTCCTGTGGTGTTGGAGGCTTCGCCAGAAGAATAGAGTTATACTATATACTGTAAAGTAAGACTATATCTTTTGTAACAAATATTTATGCGCTATATAATTAAGGCATTGTATTTGATATTACCCCTTCATTTATAACTATATGTGCGAATTGAATTTCTGGACACATATTGTGTATCTGGTTTTATCCTTAAAACCAGATGCTACAGCCCATGCGTTGCTCGCGCCCATGGCGGCCGCTGCAGCGCATGGGCCGCCCAGCCACGCCCGCACCAGGCTCACCCTACTACGCCTGTGCTGGGGCTGCCCAGCCTCGCCTATGGCGGCCACAACCACAGCCCACACCGGGGCCTCCCACCTGCGCCCACACCGGGGTGAGGCCAGAGGCCAAGAGGACAGCGTAGTTAGGGGAGGAGATCTGGGGAGAGACAGGAGAGGAGATTGTGTGTGTGAGAGAGGGAGGAGGAGGGACAGAGGAAAAGGATAATGGAGAGGCACGAGAGAAAGTTTGAGTTGTGAGTCCGTGTGGATTTAACTATGCTTGAATAAAATTGTAGGTTTGGTGGCATTATCCAGCAATGAAAACCTAGCTATCACTACCGCTTGAAGTCATGAATTAACATATATATTATCATTGCCGGTTAATGAGCCAATTAACAGTGAATGCATGTTCTCTAGTGGTGAAGGTTGCAGCAAAACTGCACCAAAATTTCACTAGACAATCACTAAAACACCCAAGCATCATAAGGAATATAATGTCAAGTCACCTTCAACTGTACAGGAGGCAAAGTTTGGTGCTAGTATCTCAAAATCATATCCTCCAGCCGTCATCGACAATGACAACTGAAATAAATTAAACCACTATCCTCTCTGCCTACCAGATATAGATATCTATGTTTATAAATATATATAGTGGCATACACAAGGTAGCTAGCGCCAAGTGGAAGGCACGTATAGTACTAATCGTCCGGCGTGCAGCTGAGGCCATATGCATCAAGCAACCATGCAAGTCCTCCTCCTGTTGTTGCTCCCGTTGGTTCTCCTAATCGTCCGGCGTGCAACGCCGCCGATCAAAGCACGCCTGTCCACCCTCAAGTCTGGCATAGCACGTGCACGTAAGCCAGTTATCATCAAGGACTTCGCCACGGCGCACCACCTGCTCGTCCGGGGCAGCCGCATGCCGTCCGCGTCACCCAGCGCCATCATCACCGGCCGCCGCTACCACAACATCATTTCGGCACCCTCCGGCGGCCAGCTCTGGCGCACCCTCCGCCACAACCTCACCTCAGGAGTCGTCCACCCGACGCACTTGCACCGCTACGCGGCCGCGCGGCGCCAGGCGCTACGTGGCCTCGTCGCGGACCTCAGGGAGCAGCAGCTCACCGACGGCGTGGCGCTCGCCGCGGAGAGCATCCGCGACGCGGTATTTGGCCTCGCCTCTACCATGTGCTTCGGCTACGGCGTTGACGCCGGTGTGGTTCGAGCCATGGCCGACGTCCAGACCAAGCTCATCCTATCCTTGCCTGCGCTGCGCACGTTCGCGGCCGGGCCGTTAACGTTCCCGGCGGTGTCTAGGCTAATCTACCGCAAGCGGTGGAGAAAGCTGGCCGGGATACGGCAGAAGCAGGAGGAGCTGTACCTCCCGCTCATCGACGGCTGCCGCAGACATCGCCGGGACTCTGACGAGACACCAAGTTATGTACACACGCTCCTGGACCTCCATGTCCCGGTAGAATTCGAAGCAGACGACCACAACAGCGGAGGCAAGCAAAGGCAGCAGCGGAGGCTCGAGGACGGTGAACTCGTGGGACTCTGCTCGGAATTTCTTGGTCAAGTAACTGAATCCACAGCCGCGGCGCTGCAGTGGATCATGGCGAACCTAATCAGGCACCCAGACATACAGCAGGCCATCCGGGAGGAGATCAACGCTGCTGTGGACGCCGACGCCGAGGAGATTGGGGAGGAGGTTCTTGGGAAGCTAGACCACCTCAACGCTGTCATCTTGGAGACACTGAGGCTGCATCCCACAATCATGTGGGTATTTAGGCAGGTAAGCCAACAAGTAGCCCTAAAAACCCCCATCCATCCCAAATCATAAGTCATTCTAAGAATCTTAGAGGGTCAAAGCATCTCAAGTTTGACCAAAATTATAGAAAAAATTATAAAAAATTTATGAAATCAAATAGATATACTATGAAAATATAATTAATGAGGAAGCTAATGATACTTAGTTGATATCATAAATGTTATTATCTTATCATATAAGTTTGGTCAAACTTGAGATACTTTGACTCTCCAAGATTCTTGGAATGACTTATAATTTAGGATGGAGGGAGTACCAAATAATTTATTAATTATATAACACTATCCAACCAATCTCGTGAATATGAAAAAAAAGGTGATGGAAGAAGACCAAGTGGTTCATGATGGCCAACGTATTCCTACGGGCACCGACATAATGTTCTTATTAGAGGCACTGGGACGAGACAAGGCAGTGTGGGATGACCCTGATGAGTTCAAGCCCGAACGTTTCCATGGATGTGGAGGTGGAGAGAGCACTACCAAGAACCTGCAGTCCATGGCCGCGGAGATGAAGATGATGCCTTTTGGGGTCGGCAGGAGGATGTGCCCTGCTATAAGCGTCTCGCTGCTCCACATCAGCTATTTCGTGGCAAACCTTGTGAGGGAGTTTGTGTGGGAGGAAGTGGAGGGTGAGCATGCCGTGCAATTCCAGACGGACACCAGCATCATGTTTTTCAACCGCATGGCGCGTCCACTGCGCGCTCACCTTGTGCCTCGCCGGCCGGAGGCCAAAAAGATTTGTCATTAATTGGACACGTGTCCTGGTCCATTTGGAACACAGACGATTGATATATATGATCATAGTGATGCTTCTTTGCACGTGTTCATATGTGGACCTTTGATATTTCTACTATCTCGATGGTTATAGGACTATGGACTACCTCGAATATCTCATATCTGTAGCCAAATAAGTGAATTTGTAATAAAGATTTGTGTTTCCATTACATACGGATGTGCTTTCTATATTTAAACCACCATCAGTTGCCTTGTATCTGCTTTGCTTAGTCTAAGAGTAAGTTTAAGTTTAATCGGTTTGGCTATAAGTCAAGCCGGGGACGGAGCGAGGTAACAATAATGCGTGTCAATATATATATATATATATATATATATATATATATATATATATATATATATACGGCAAAGGTATACATAACACCCAAATAAATATTTGTATTGCAATACAAAAGAAAGCAACAAAACTAAAAAATGAAGGGAAATTAATTAGTTTCGGGCCTCTAACCTTCACCCAATCAATCTAATTCTTTGGTCAGAAAAAGAATCACGGTAATAACAAGTAGTTAAATAGGGGCAAAATTAATTAGCACTAGATCCTAAACGTTAAATAGCAAACAATTGGTCACTTGTTGTTTAGCCTCAGACAAAACGGTCACTTGAAAGGTAAATTGGTTGTTTAAATAGACGATTAAACAGAAACATTGTACCACTATATAGTGTTTACATGTCGATTGCACGGGCTAAACGATCATTTACATGAACAGTGGCAAAAACATAGGAGATAAGGAACATAATAGGAAGACTAATGCTAAATAATATAGATCCCATTGGACATCAATTTAGAAGGATTAAACAAGGAAAGCACTGATTTTCAATTAACTAGCTAATTAGAGTGTGTGCTATGGGGACAAACTAATGTTTGGTAGGCAATAATAAAAATTAAAGATATGGAGAAAATATTAGGAAGACCTGATTTTTATTTATATATATTAGAGATTAATATGGAGTAAGAACAAAAATATAGTACAAATAGTATCATCAACTAGCTAATTACATAATTAAACACCTAACTTAGGGGTGTATTATGGGAGGTATGGGAAGGTTGGGGTGCCAAGTCCCCCCTCAGCTCCCCTTCCCTCCGACACTAAGTCAAGACAAGTCAGAAAAATCATATAACAATCTATTATCTAGCCTCCTCTTATGTTCCAAATATATTTCATTGCGTGTGGGACCCAGCCACTCATCTTTTCCCTTCCTTTATCTCCTCCCCACATTATGAGGGTATTTGGCATGGCTCCTCTTGAGGGGCTCTTTTGGAGGAGCCAGAGCCGTTTTGGAGGAGCCACAATTTGTGGCTTCTCCAAAACGGCTCCGCCTCCTCTACTTTTTATTGAAAAATGGCTCCTCCATGAAAACGTTTGACAGGGCTTCTATGGAGGAGCAAGAGCCGGAGCCGAAAAGGAGCCCTTCCAAACGGGCCCTATATATTCCAGCTCCCCTAGTCATTCTTCCTCTTCTAAATTCGCCGCAAACGCTCTTGCTCCTCCTCCCTCCCTTCTGCTTGCTAATTAAGTAGCTTCCCCATCCCTTACCCACACACATAGGCACTATGGCATTGGTAGCCGGAGCAATTGCTGCTAGAGTGTTGGTATATTTTAACACACACCGATAAATTCGCAAGCGCACGGATACCGCTGTAGCTTTCACCCAGAGGTATTCCAAGTATCGTATCCACAGGGAAACGTGTGAGGTTAACTACGGTCCAACTTAATCCGGAGTAGCAACAAGACTTAAGAAAGTCGGGAGTGTAGAGGAGATCGCTAAGGTCTTCTAGTTCTAATCTCGATAAGCTATGTCTTCTATTGTTCGACTGGGGATATTACTAAGGGAAACACAAACAGAGTATGTTTCCTATAATAACTAAATCATGCTAGTCCTACAAACGGGAGGTGGACTACAGAGGATTCAACGAGGCTATAAGAGTCACTCTCGTGAGCTACCACCGATCTGAAATATAGGGTACATCCACGAGTTACCCGAGTCTAAGCACCATGCTTACACTACGAATAATACTTTAACCTAAGGCCAATAGATTAAAGCACTCAAAAGAGACTCACAAACCAGAAGAACAATATAAACATGTTACTTACTTAAATCAGAAGTGGATTACTAGAGAAATCTCAGACGCAAGGTTGACTTCTGCCAAGGTACAAGCCGTAGAGAGAGCACCGACAGGCCGGCACCTCCTCCAAACTCTTCTCTCACTATCCATCTCTCTATTTCTAAAGACTAGATCCTATGGAGGACTAATCTTCTCTTGATAGCTAGCTCTGATCCTCATGAGGAGAATATGAATTAGGGTTTCAGGATCTCTCCTGAGGGAGGGGGTAGGGGCTAGTATATATAGCACTGAGGGTCCAACATGAGCCCTTGGATCAAACCGACTTAAGCAACGGCTTAGATGCATCCAAAAAGGTGGTGGGGAACCGACATATGGAGCAGGCTGATAGGTAGGGCCCACAGGGGCTAGGCAGCCCCTCCTATAGGTGTTGATGGACACTAACACCAATTATAAACCATCAACATAACCTGCATTTATATTTAATTCCATCATCAAACATAGGTATAGGGGTTTAAACTAATAAATTCCACGAGCTTTCATGATTTTATAACTATAGGAGGATTTATCCAAAAAATAGCTCCAAGGACCACTGTCATACACTCCAAACAAGCAAACCGATGACAATGAGTGATTTAGCCCACGAAACCTGCGAAAGACGACTCAAGACGAAGCCCAAGCCTCACCACCAGAAGGAGGAGCCCACCTGGCACCATAGTAGGCCGGTCGGCCCACTAGGGAGGTCGCCTGGCCCATGGGGGTGGCCCATCACCTCGTGCCACCTTGTACTTCTTCCTATGATCTACACCGTTGATTTTAAGGCGCTTTTAGATTGGTTTATCCAACGGTGGTCGAGAGAGTTGACGCGGATCGATGACGTGGTGATTCCTTGCCCCTTACTCTACCTAGAGTCCTTGCCTTCTACTCCACCTCGATTCCTTGGCCGCTACTCTAGCTACCAGCTATATAAGGCACCTCAGACCCCCTCCATGAGACACACCTCTACATACCCTATGCTTCAGAGCTTCATAATTTCATATCCTTTGTAGTAGTGTCCCTCTAGATGAGTTCCATCTAGTTGTAAAATAGAAAATAGGGAGAGAGAAGAGGAGAGAGCGAAGGGGAGACGGATCTATCAGATCTTCCTCGAATTTGTACTTCTACAGATTGGATTCATCCTTGAGTAATCTCCAGGTTCTTCAATTACTATTCTTAAGTTATCTATTTACTTAATTTTAGTATTTACTTTAAGTTATTTATTGGATTCTTGTTTTGCATCAAGTGATCTAGTCTTTGCAAAACTAGAGTAGTAATCAATAGATTAGGCGTGGTGCTTAGTCTTGCGATTACCTGGAATTACACCCATCCCTACGGATAGTTATGGTAGCCCTAGGTGGTGACAACCCTAACGACCGACGTAGTCCACCACGTTTGGGTTGGTGTTTGTAGGACCATAGTCAAAACTTCCTAGCCCCTTTCATCATCTCAGTCTTAGGCTAGTGTTTTGATGTTCTGAAGTAAGTAAACTTATAGTAACTTTGATTCCAAGATCAACTAGAGAAACTTTAGGAAATTCCTCTCTCCCCACAAAAACACATATCTTTATCCTTGGATGACCTTGATCCTTAATTAGTACACTTCGTGTTTCCCATGGAAATCGATACCTTAGAATACTCCCGGGTGAAAGCTACAGCGGTATCCGTGCGCTTGTGGATTTATCTGTTTACGTTAATAAATACCAACAAGCTTTCTAGCGCCATTGCCGGAGAATTGTAGCTATGCTAGTTTCAAACCAAGTTCATCTGTGTATCTTTCTTTTTCTTTTACCACCATATTCATCTTACCACATGGATTCCACTCCTATTTATAAACTCTCTGCTCCAAAGGGCAAATTGTTGGAGCCTCCACCATCATCACATCCTATACTTATAGATGGCTATGAGCTTCGCCCTGCTTTCATAGCCATGGTTCGGGAGCAAACCTTCTCTGGAGAAGAAGCCGAAAATTCGTATGTTCACCTTTAGGAATTTGAGCAACTGTGTTCGTGCCTGAATATTCTAGGCATGACATGAGACCTTAAAGTGGAAATTGTTTCCATTCTCCCTTTATGAGAGGGCAAAACAATGGTATGCTCATACCGTAAGAAGTGTAAATGGAGATTGGGATAAACTTTGAGACAAATTTTGTCTTGCTTTCTTCCCTATTTCTTGGATTATCACTCTTCGTCTAGAAATTCTTACTTTTCAACAAAAGGAGAAGGAAAATTTAGGAGCAGCTTGGGCAAGATTTTCAAATTTAATTACATCTGACCCAGATTTGTCTATGCCTAACCATGTTCTTCTACAACACTTCCATTATGGCCTTAGCAAAGAAGCTACCCTTTTTCTCGATATCTCTTCAGGAGGATCGTTCTCTCATAAAACCATTAATGAGGGGAAAACAATCCTTAAAAAACACCCCTTACACTAGCGTTTATGATGAATTCCCCGAAGAAGAAGTCGAGCTAAGCCCTGAGCCAAAAGAGGAGGAACACACAACTGAATTGGAAATTCCAATTGATTCTTCTCATGATTTGGTTGTTGAAAAACCTTCCGATAAGGGAACGCAAAACCAAATAGAGGATGATGAAACATCTCCTTTAGAGCTTCCCTTTGAATTCGAGGAAGATATCTTTGAAGATTATGGAAATACCTCGAATTTGCCTATTCAAGCGAGTCCTGTGGCACAAACCACTTCATCTGACCCGCAAAAAGAATCGGTCCATATAGAACACATCAAAAGCCTCTCATCAGTCATGAGTTATGAATGGCTAAGGGAAGCAGAGTTATCTCCTGAGGTAGCTCGAATCATCTCCCCTTCAACCATTCTTTTGTGACAAGTTACGGGGTATGCTA